GGGGGGGGGGGGGGGGGGGGGGTGAGGGGAAGCCTCGCTAGCGTGTGGCGTGGGGTGTCAAATGGTGGAGGGGTGATGTGGTAAGGATTTGGGGGAGGGCCAGAGGAAGGAGACCCCGAGAGACGCAAGACCTTTGGTTTGAAGGGCAGAACGAAGACCCCCTAGAAGTCCTGGGAGAGAAAGCAGCTGATAGTCCCAACTAGACCTCGGAGTTTTTTGTTCTCCCAATTTGACCATTTAGCCTCGGCTAGCTTCCATCTTACCGACCACCGCGTTTTTCTATCTACCATTCCTTACTGGTTCTGTGACACCGCCCCCCACCTCCCCGCCCCAAGGACTGCCACATTTAGATTAGAGGACTATAAAGAGGAACTTAAGGTACAGGGGCAGCAGAAAGTCTCCTTCATTTTAGCATAATTCATACAGGTGACCTGTTCCTGAAAAGAATCCATTAATAACTGAAACTGCAAAGGAAACAATATTCGGGTGGTCTCTCCCAGCTAGTGGGGAGCACTGGGCTGCTTGGTGGCTTGCTTCCTAATATTGATTGCAATTTGTGTCTTTCAATAGTTTTCAAACCTCATCCACCCCCGGAAGAACCTTCGGGGTATTAGGAGTACTACAGTCCCAAACGTAGGTGAGTGCTGTTAGATAAAGCAAATTGGTCTCAATTAATTAAAAAGCATTGCTTTCCTCAGGCCCCTGGCAACTGAAATACCATAGACTTCCATTAATTTAATACTCAGGGTCCTCCACTACCTTCCCTGTCTTTTTACCCACTCCTCCACTGGATGACCTTTCATGTCAGTGCACATTGTGGAGTTGGTGAGAGATATTGGGATCATACAAACATTTCTGTTTGGTATTTATTGTTTCTTTTCCATCCTTTTAGATGGTTCTAATAACACGGAAGATGATGATGAAGACGATGTAGGTAGGAGTAAATTAATTTGCATGTAACCTAGCATTCTGTATCAATTAATTATGACTTTCACAATGTGAGTGAATAATATAATCTTAAGTGAAAAAGGACTTTTTCTCTATTTATAAATCGTGAATTTCAGAAGAAATACTAAATTAGGAGTAGTCTGTATTTCTTTAGGGGGAGTTGAAATGCAATATGCGGGAATGAGTCGAGAATTTTCAGCTGGCAAGGCAAAATTAGGTCTGGTGGTGATGGATGTAGGCTTGCTTAAGGCCAGAGGTTGGTGTAACAGCAGAGCATAAGAAACTGGATCTTCATGTAAAAAGGAACTCTCAGTGTTAAGTCATTCTTTCTACAACCTTCTTTTAGAAGGAAGATAAGAGTAGGAGCAGTTGCTTGAT